GATGCTGGCTGTCACGGGTTAGAGGTGTGTTCTTCAGATTGTTGCCATGGCCATAGCACCGCATTCTGGGCTGCAGTGAGTGCCATTGATGAGTGTCACAGGGGACCTGATGCCATTTTGGTGATTTAGATGTCTGCCTATCAAAAATGCATGTTTATTTTTCTATGAGTAAATTCAGGCAGCCTGTGACGAGAGCTGGCCAGAACTCAAAGAATTGTGCTTCCCAGAAGATGAAGGCGTTGTTTCATTATGTCTGTTATGTTCAAATGTTTAAAGTGTTGAATTGCTCAGATGAGGGGAAGGGGCTCACTTTCTGTGAGAAACCCAGTTGAAATTATTCATATAATTATAAGTTATTGTCCAAATACAAAGAGTTGGTCATCCCAGCTTGTGAAAAAAAAGTGAAGCATAGTGAATTTGGGCAATGCAGTGAGGTGGGGTCCTGGAGAAGCAGGAAAACCCAGTTGGTGGGTGGGAAATTGCTGTCATCGGTGTCCCTGTTTCTGCTAATCCTGCTGAGCTGGGGGAGATGCTTTGCTCCCGTGGGCCCTCCCTGACAGGTTTTGATCGTGACAACATGATTTATGCTGTCTATAAATATCCCTCTGGCAAGGCAAATAATGTGCTGGATGACATTTTCCAGACAGCCTCAGGCTCATTGGCAAGATACTCCTCTGGCATTACAGGGAAAGCAAAGAAAATGTGGCCTGCAGACCTACACAGCATTTTACAAGTGGTTTCAGAGCCACTTTGCGCTGATCTCTGCTTCAGAAAGAGACGGGTCTCCACTTCCCATGAATGTCACAATCCCCCAGCTGAAGCTCAACAGCCCCTGAAGCCCACATACCACAGAACCGTGCTGCATTAACAAAGGAAAAAATAAATAAGTAAATAAATAAATAGTAAGGACCTGAAGTCCTCATTTTAATTCAGAAAACTGCTCTTCCTTATAGGTGTGGAGAGGACTTGTGAGGATGTGGGGGAGAGGGATGAAAAGTTGAAAACTGCTACTGTTCCTGATGACGGTATTTTTCAGCTTTTAAACTTGCTGCAAGAAAAAAGGTCTACAGAAGGAAGGCATTTAGAGCTCCGTCACGCCTCAAAGCATCCCATGTTTTTTTGTGGCCCTTGGAAGGAAAAATGTCCTGCCCAATCCAGTGTGACAGCCGCTGATCTTGGCCACCTGCCCACTCTGATGGCACATGCAATCACCCCAGGGCCATGAAGCTCCTGGCAGTGGTGAGCTGCTGCCTGCAATGGTTTGGGGCCATTTCTGGAGCAGGTCTCCCCAGGTGGCTGAAGCCCCCCCCATGGCTTCTGGCCAGGATATGGATGTTCTGCTGGCATCCAGCACTCAGAACCAGCAATGCTCTGTGCCCAAAATGAGGGAGCTGGGAAATGGAAATTGTGACATGGGAAATCTGCTTTGAACTTCACCTGCTCTGAAGGCATGGAAAACCCAACTAGCAGTGCTTGCTGGTGGCCAGGCCCCAGGCAAGGCTCGGGGAGACAAGCAAGCCAGAGGCAGCAGTGGGCTGGAGGGATCATTCGTCTTCCTCCAGCACACTAAACCTCTAGGGGAGGATGAGCAGCAGCAAATGGTCCCTAATCCCAAACACCTGTCCATAGCCTGCTGGATACCAGGGAAACCTCCATCAAGGTGACCAGTTCTGTGTAGGAACAAAAGGACTCTGTTTGCCTAGTTAAATGCTTACCTTAAACTTGATAAGCACTCTTCGTTGGCATTGGCTGCCTCAGGGGGAGGAAACCAGGCCTAACCGTGACAGTCTTCCTTAACAGTGCTCTCTCTGGCATTTCGGTGGGTCTTTCAGTCATGCTGACATGCCCCATTACACTGGAGCAGGTCAGTTCTGCCTGATGCAGACAGTGTGGTGCTCTGGCTCACGTGGCACTGCTAGCACATGGCAGGGTCACTCCTTCAGTGCCCAATTGGCTTTACGACTGAAGCCCCAAACCTGTGCTTGGGAAGGCTGGGCATCAAGGAAGAGCTTCTTTAGCGTGAGGGTGATGGAGCACTGAAACAGGCTGCCCAGTGAGGCTGTAGGGTCTCCTTCTCTGAAGATATTCAAAACCCTCCTGGATGCTTTCCTATGTAATCTACTGCAGGAAACCTGCTTTAGCAGGGGTTGGACTCAATGTTCTGCAGAAGCCTCTTCTAGCCCCTACAATTTTGTGATTCTGTGATCAGCATAGCCAGAGCAGTGATGCTGCCAGTGGGACAAGGAGGCAGCTCATTAGGAATTAATCCTGACAAGTGACAGATATCCTGTGGTGTTCAGCATGGCAAACATTCTTTTCATGTTGCATCAACATCAACAAGAAACTTGATGTTAATGATGGTGTTGATGATGCACTAAAGCCCCAGCATGTGCAACTGACCATCCTCTTTCTGGAAGGTGCATTGGGACCTGCAGCAGCAGCAGATCAGTGATAAGCTGGCCTGACTGTTGAAAATGGGCCTTTTGCAACCACATACATACAGTGTCCCAAATGTGTTTTATTCCTTAATAGCCTCAGACTAAAGAGCAATTTATATTTTGAGTGTAATATTTAAATCAACAAATATCCTTAAAGACCATATCAAACAAAAGGCTTCATCATTGGCCTTTGTTCCTGTAAGAGTAGGAGCACGACCTACTGTGAGGTGCTGCCCCCCTTACATGACACATTAATTCCATCTCTATCCCACTATAGTTTGAGCTGTGAGACACATGGATGTTTTACTGCGTGCACCTGCTCTCCTGATATGGAGACAGAGATGCGCAGTGGATGATGGACATGAGCAGGCGTAGGGGAGTACTGGGTGCTGGCAACAGCAGTGGGATGCACAGTTCCTGCTGGTCCTGGTGGATGCACAGTGGCTGTGGGGCTCTGGACCATTGCTACCAGGTGCAGAATTTCCCTGGAAATTCTGGAAAGGAAAGCATCTATGCATTGCACACAGCCCAGCGCTCCTCCTGCAGCTCCCTGCAGCCAGGCACAGCCATGGTGCAGTTGTTCATGTTTATTGCTGGCCTGTGCGAGCCTCAGGAGGGAAGCATGAAGCAGAGATGCGTTTGGACCATTTTTCAGCCAGCCCTTACTCCAGGAGGAGTATATATGGAGGCTATATTCTCACAGCAGCAGAGCTCCCCTTGGCTTAAGATTAGGGTAGCAGAGGTTCTGTCTTCTCCTGGAGGCACCGTGCTGTTCCCGCTCTTCTCTTATCATGTTTTAATTTCTAACCCACCTGCTGGACACACTGCTTGTAACCGCAGCTGACTCAATTGGCAACATCAATTTGGCAAGTTCCCATCGATAAAAGCGATACTGCCCTGAGAGCACCGCGCTAATGCTTCTAAAAGGGATTTCTGTATCTGCCAGCACTGTTTGTTCCAGCAGCTCCACTTTGAGGGGTGAGTGCCTGCTAGCAGAGGCAGCCCATTCCTTTCTTTGTCTGGAGATCTGGCTAAGCGAGCCACAAGCCCTTTGTAGGGTCAAAGGGACCTACTGAGGGCGGCAACCTATAGTCCCATGCGCTCATGCAGGTGAGTTCTGCCTGTGAGCTTCCCACAAGTGGCCCCAACTCTCATTCTGCTACATGCACAGGGCCAGCACCGTAGGGGTCCCCACGAGTGTACCGTGTCCCTGTCCTCTGAGTGTTGGCCTTGGGGCAGCCAAGGGAGGCAGAGAGTTGGTGGTAGCTCTGGCAGTGAAAAATAACTTGAAATCCACTGTAACTTCGAACTGTATTCAGGCCTGGTGTTAGGAAAGAAGCAATTTAATGTTATTCCTGGAAAAAGAAATTTAAAAAAAAAAAAAAAAAAAAAAAAAAAAGTGGTTTTAGATTGCTTCACTCCCAGGAAAATATTTTTGTTTTTGTTTTGTTTAAGGAATGTCAAAATTGCTTTCATGAAAATGTTTCTTACGGGTGTTCTGTAACACACAGCAACAAGCTATGACAGGCTAGCCACCAACAGCAGTGCTGGGACATGGCTAACAGGCTTGGGGCTGAGTTCTAGGTGGGTCAGCTCTGCTTGCATCGCTCCTTTTATTGGCCAACCTGCATCCAAATATCACCAGTGATGTCCCCCAGGGCTGTACCGGCGGTGCTGTTCCAAACAAAGGCCACTCTTCCCTTTATCCGTGCTCATTGAGAACGTGTGGAGCAGTCATTTGCCAAGAATGATTCAGGCAGGTATCTCTTGTTTTGCAATACGCAAAACACTCATCAGGTGAGCTGCCATTCTCTCTGTTTTTTCCTTTTCTCCTTTTCCCCCTTTTTTTTTTTAATTGATTTTATAGCCTCACGTGTGGTTGGCTGTGCTGCTTTGTGACCCCTGCCCTTCGCAGCAGAGGGGCTGGTGTGATCCTGTCCTTCCTTGAGTACTGTGTTCAGTTTTGGGCCCTCATTTTAAGAAAGACATTGAGGCCCTGAAGTGTGTCCAGAGAAGAGCAGTGAAGCTGGTGAGGGGTTTGGAGCACAAATCTTATGGGGAGTGGCTGAGGGAAGAGGGCTTGTTCAGTCTGGATGAAACTCAGGGGAGACTACATTGCTCTCTCCAACTCCCTGGAATGAGGTAGTGGTGATGTGGGCATCAGCTTCTTCTCCTGGGTAACGGTGAGAGGAAACGGCCTCAAGTTGCACCAGGGAAGGTTCAGATTGGATATTAGGAAAAATTTCTTCTCGGAAAGAGTGGTCAGGCACTGGAACGGGCTGCCCGGGGAGGTATTTAAGGAAAAGGTAAATGTAGTACTCAAGGACATGGTTAGTGGGCAGTATTGGTGGTAGGCAGACGGTTGGACTAGAGAATCTTAGAGGTCTTTTCCAACCTTAATGCTTCTATGACTCCTGTTGCTCTCTCCCCGCAGCGCGGGGCCGCGCCTCTGCATCCCGGTCCTTTTCACCGCAGCCGGCCGGCCCCGCAGGCCGACATCCCAACACGGAGAGGAACAAATCGGCCGCGATCCTTCCATGACGGTGCCTTCAGGAGGCGGCCCCGGCCTGCGGGCGGGGCGGGGGCGGCGCTGCCGGGCCGGTGGCTGGGGTACCCGGCCCGGGTCCGAGTGCGGTCCCGGTCCCAGTCCGGCCCCTAGGCGCTGCCGGAGGGCGCGGAGGTGAGCGGAGCGCGGGGCGATCGCGTGGGGACGGGGCGTGGGGCTGCCGCCGGGGTCGGCGGCCCCGACCCGCCCGGCGCGACGGGGGGAATTGGAGAATTTTTTTTATTTTTTTATTTTTTTTCCGCGGCGGATTTTTTTCCATGGGCGCAGCGCGTCCGTCTTCGTCGCAGCTTTGCCCTCAGCTTCCCGGGAGCTGGAGCCGCTCTGCTCGGAGCTCGCAGTCTGCCCGCTCGTAGTGCTGCGGAGAGCGCGGGCGAAGAGGTCTGCCTCCTACCGCTGCGCTGAGTCCTCTGCCATCCGTCCGTGCTACAAGCGGGCACCGCTTTCCGAAGGGGCTGCACGCACGGTGCCCGCATGTCGTGCGGGCTGAAAGGCGCCCTGCAACCCGAGAAGGACGAATCGGCAGCCGGGTCCGCCGCCGGGCAGCGGTGCGGTGAGAAGATGAGGTGCAAAGGAAGGCTCGAGCGGGGTGCGGCTGACCCGGACCCAGGGGGAGAAGCAACAGAGCTGGTGACGGGGGCGCTCGGACGGCCTTCGTGAACTGACGGAGCTGACCTGGAAAGCGCTGGGGTTTGAGCAGGGCTAAGGCTGGAGGGAGGGCTGGAGAAGAAGGACTGAGCCTCACGAGAGGGCTGTGGGAATGCTTGCTGTGGTAATAGGGGGAGAGAGCCCTGGCAAAGCAGTTGTGAAGAAATGAGTAACTCCTGTACTTAGTGACCTAAAAGCTGGGAAGTTGAAAGATGGTGAGTCCCACAGTATTGGCTAAGAGTGATCTAAACCAGTGCGTTGTTTCCCAATGCATGAGGGGCTGCTCTGCACAGGCCGGATGTTTCTGCATCCTGCCTGCATCCCACCCCAGCTTCTGCCAAGCGCTGCCAGCTTTGCGCTATGACTATTTTTGTTATCATGAAAGCCAGAAGCACAAATCCAGCTGTGTCTACAGGCACTGGTTTTGTGGGGAGAACCGATGACTGGGAAGTCAACATGAACGCCCTTCTTTTCTCATGCTCATCATCTGTCAGCATAAAAGCAGTACTCTTCCTTCAGGGTCAGATATCAGGTGAATAGCAACCTGCCTGCCCTGAGTTGATTGCAGGTGTGCAGCTCATGGCTGTTACCCACATTTCCCTTCTCATTGGTTTCCCACTGGCTCTCAAGGCATTAGCAGCTTCCAGCAGACAGTGTCTCCAAAGAAGCCTCACAGGGCCAGGTTTAGCAGCTGGAGACTGTGAAGCCTCGGGATGCAATTTGATGATGCCACTGAGCTAAGTGATATGCAACTGTAATAGTGCAGCCACCTGAATGCTGCTTCTTGCAGCATCTCTTTGTGCCATTGTTTGTGTCTCACTCTGCAGTGGAGCAAAACCAGTTCTGGAAGCCAAACAAGTAAGAATTCACTTTACGGTGCTCACATGCCCAAAGGAGCGTGAAAGAAAAGCCCGAGGAGGAAGGGAGTGGATTCAGCTGCAATTAGCTCAATTAGCTGCTGGTTTGCTTTTCTTTTGATATCGACTCATACTTTGGCAAGTTCTTACGTGTAATTCTTTATCCATCTTATTTTTTTATTTGGTCATAACCACAGAGGTAAGGTGCTGCCTGCCAGTTGCAGCTAGCACATAAAACCACCCAAATGTACCTTTTCCATGTGGGAATGAGACCGCATCAGTAGAGTACAGCATGGAGTAATCTTGCTATTTATACTGTTGGGGTTTGCATCATGGTCTAGCATGTGATGTCAGGAGAGGTTGGGAACACTGTTCAAGCTCTTCCTGTCCTCATACGCTATCATTTAGCTCCTCACGGCATGTACTTCCCATGCATGTGAAAGTCTTCTGCTTGCTGCGTCTTCTTTCAGATCCTTTTCTCTGCACTTATCTGGGGTTGTCTTTCTCAGCCACTCCTGCCCAAACAAACATATTCAATCCCTTACTTTGTTGGTAACTCAGTTTCCAGAACATATCCACAGATCTTATTTTGGGTGGTGACTTCACCTGGAAACAGGTGTAATGTCAGCGACTGTCACAAAGCAAAAGTGATGGACAGAGAGTCACCTGAAAGCAGATCTGTATCAGGGCTGTGGTGTTTTGCAGGGTTCTGGAGTTAATGTCATCACGTCACAAGTCCACCACTGTCCCAACAAAGCTTCATCTGCTAAGGGAGTAAAAGGAACAGGAGAAATAGAGGAGAACATTTAGCGCATCCATCTTGGGCAAAAGCCAGGCCTGTTTTGTATTACTGAAGCTGGGTGGAGAGAACCACCATTCAGGCCACTGGTAGGGGCTGTCTTTACGGAGTTCAACCTACCAGCATAAGGACATGAACACCCATGCCCCTGGCCTGCAGCCAGTTCTGACTTGTTAGGAGTGAGACTACGCTATACTTGCTCTGTCTTTCTTGCCACCTAGTGCCTGAGGTGGAGGAGTCTTACGGCCATGTGAGAGCAATGCTGGAGCTTCTGGGGTGGTTTGGAAGGTAAAGCACACATGAATCATATTGATTTAGAAAGGAGGGAAACACACAGTAAAGTGGTACAAGATACATTAAAGAATACAGAAAAGAATAGAGCCTGCAATTAAAATAAAAGCTACTATTGGTAAGGCATGCCATCCCTACACACTGAGGTCTGGCCCAATTGGTGGACAGACCTTTGAGCAAGAGTTGTCCTTGCACAGTTTGGTGACAAATAAGGATGTGCTGCTGAATAGCATTCACACCATATTCAACCACTTAAAAAGCAACAAGTCGCATGAATGCAGAAACTCCTCATTGTGAAGCTAAAAGATGGCCTAAGGCCTCATGATTTCAAATTGCAAATTGTGAAAGTGAGCTCCATCTGTGGGTTTGTTAAAGCATCTATCGTTGTATTTTGGGTAATTTTGAGTACAGCAGAGGTGTTATCAATAGCTCATTTCGGTTCAGAAGCACCCAAGTTTAGAAGCAGTAAGCATACAGCCTTATGAAATGCAGTTGATCTTGTTGCTAAGGGTTTGAATATTCTGTGCTTATGATAAACTGGGTATCGGGTATTTGGAAAAATAAATGACAGTTATTTAGATTGAAATGCATAAGGCTTGAGGTGTGTTATGGTACTGTGCCATCGAAAGGGACCTGGACAAGCTTGAAAAGTGGGCTTGTGTGAACCTAATGAGATTCAACAGGGCCAAATACAGTGTTTTGCACTTGGGTTGGGGCAACCCCAGATATGTGTGCACACTGGAAGTATTCACTGAGAGCAACCCGGTGGAAAAGGACTTGGAGGTTCTGGTGGATGAAAAGCTGGACATGAGCCAACAGTTGCAGTCCAGAAGGCTGTATTCTGGGCTGCATCAAAAATGGTCAACAGAGCTAGGGAGGTGATTGTCCCTCTCTTCACCTGGAGTATTATGTCCAAGTCTGGGGTCCTCAGCACAAGAAAGATGTGGAGCTGCTGGAGCAGGTCCAGAGGAGGGCCACAAAGATGCTCAGAGGACTGGAGCACCTCTTAGACAATGGAAGACAGAGGAAGCTGAGCTTGTTAATCCTGGAAAAGAGAAAGCTTCAGTGAGACATCATTATGGCCTTCCAGTACCTAAAAAGAGCTTATAAACAGGATGGAGACAGACTTTTTACATAGTCTGCTAGTGATATATCTAGGGAGAGTGGTTTTAAACTAAAAAAAGGACAGATTTAGACTCTATATTAGAAAGAAATTCTTTACTCCAAGGATAGTGAAGCAGTAGCACGGGCTGCTGAGAGAAGTTGTGCTGTCCCGTCCCTGGAGGTGTTCAGAGCCCGGTTGGATGGGGCCCTGGGCAGCCTTAGTGAGCAGTAACCCTGTCCATGGCAGAGGGTTGGAACTGGGTGGGCTTTAAGGCCCCTTCTAACCCAAGCCATTCTGTGATTTTGAATCTGTAGTTATGTGATTAAGTAGCAACCCACTGTGGTGGTATATTTTTATACATACCAATGCCAAAAAACCACAGCCATCCAACTGTTAAAACAGTATCTGGAGTTGTTTTGATGTTTGCAGAATGAGCACTGTGGGTCAGGAGAACAATTAAGTTTCATGTTTGGCTCAACCAGATTTTGCAAAATAGGTTTCCATTTGTACAGCCAGACATATTGTCTGGGCAAACTGTATTCCAGCTATTGTTATTACTCAGCTGACCATTACTCGGCAGACTATGTCATGTAGAATTAGGGCCAGTGAAATTGCAGCATCTTTGAGAATTTGTTATTAGCATTGCATGTGAGATTCTGGAATTTCAAGCCATTAAATGCACATTTGTTTGTAATTGCTGAGCCATTATCACAGGCCCTGATCAGCATCAGGATAAGCTTGTGTGCTGTTACATTTAAATAGAAACTGTGCTTGGGCATGATTGTAAAAAAGGTATAACTGCATGTTTTTCCCACCTGCTCTTCATTTGTACACAGTGGCACATTGTAAAGCTCTAAGTGGGCTTGCCATGGAAGCATGCTTCAAGAGTTTTTGATGATTCGGATTATTCAGTGCTGGGAAGTAAGTTTGCCAAATTAGGTTGGTTCCAAAATGCACTGTGGACTGGTTCTGCTAACAATCAGAATTCAGTATCCAATGTTGGAGGGTGCCAGATCAGCAATCTGATTCATCACCCACCTGAGATATGTTGTTCGCAAACTCAACATCATGATTGCTGATACATCCCCAGGGATGCTGGAACAGGCACTACTGTAACCACTGAGTGTGATCCAATCATGTTGTACATAAAACAACAATTTTAAGAGGAAGGTTTCTCACAGTGTTTCATTTCATGCCAAACCAGCAGTTCATCAGTATGATTCATCCCATATGGTGAATGGGGGAGGGCCTTGCCACTGAAGCATGTCATGCTCATTTCCCTGTCCTTTTTCAACAGACCTCAAGTCAGGGGACATAGCAGGAATGAGCCATGCACTAGCTTATTCACCTGGGGCTTCAGCTCAGTGTAATAAGGTTATAGGAGTTGCTAGTAATAGTGCTTCCTGAAATTAATCTGGAGCTTGTCAAGTGATAAGACATTCCCAGCCACAGTCTTGGTAGTGGATCCACCCAATAGCGAAGGTTCATAGGGTTTGAGTACATTCCCTCTGAGGGTGGGAATTCCGGGACCTAAAGCCAAATCTGCCACTAGTGCAAACAGAGATACTCTTGCTGCTTCGCCATGCCAGAGGAGGCATCACCATTTAATGATTGACTACCTAGGCTGTTTTTGGTACACGGCATCCACATTAAAATCTCAAACTACAGTAGAATCCCACCTCTGTGGATTATTCCCCCGTGGGTCAACAGCAATGATTTCTTGTTTGATAAAGAGGTTATAGAATCAGTTACTTTGCCATCAGATTCACCTGGGCTGTCCCAAATATTTCCGTCATAGTCACTGTGACAGGCCTTTTGTCATACTTAATTCTAATTCTGCCCTTTTAATTCACCTTTCAACTTTGTTTTCTTATCCTAAACCTTCATCTTGCTCATTCTCAGTTTTCCATATAGCTTTTGTGTCATGGCTTATTGACCATTGTGCAAACTTAACATTTCCTTCCCAGTGATTAGTCAAGATAGGGGTACT